GTGAACGGCTCCAACTTTTCTTCAACGGAAAGTAGCCAGACTGATTAGCGAGTGAAATCTTGAAAGCTTGCGAGATCAGGATGGTCTCACGAGGCTATAAACTTAGACCCTCAATCAGTAACATTCATTTATAATTAGGTCATAGTATCCCTGATTTCTGTATTGGTCTAGTTAAACTTTGAACTTTGACTAGACCTTTTATTCAGATGGTGCATTCTTGCAACAGGCTATCTGAATTGGAAGGCTACAAATAGCTTTTTGCTATTTCTTTTATTCGGTTCTTGTTTTTACAAATTATTTCGATTTTAACCTTTGTTTGTATTGTTATAGGAACTCGGTCAGACTTTATTTTCTCGGTAGCTTTCTATAACGCAGGAAACAAAAGTATAAAGTAAATATGAATGAAGAAAGTTTGTAATTTGTTTAAAGCATCTGCACTAACGAGCAAAGTAGCGTTTTTTTCTTGATTATTTGGGCTTTATCAGGTTAAACTCTGCGTGAACCTGCTGTAATCCTTCTTTCCCCTGTTTCAGCTGTGTTCACGTTGAGGAGCACCATGCTGTGGATATCGACGTTTACCACTGTCCAAACTGTGATGTCAAACACGGACCCTCCCTGAGTGAGTAATGTCCTCATTATTGGCCGGATTCATTTGCTGTTTTCTGCCTCCTTCCCCCAGTCTTACTTACAGCCTTCCATTGTCCTTATGAACTGCCCACCACCTCAGTCTCTGCTGCTCCTCAGGGAAACAACAGCTCTCTGGAGTGTTAGTCAAGTCTAAGTTTCCCCCCCTCTTTCCTTAAGAGGCCGGGGGTTGGGTTAACCTTTCCGAGCCCTCAGGGCAGACATTAACCGGCTAATTGAATGGTTTTGTAAACCCTTCTCTCTGATTGGATAAACTCCTTATCAGAACACGGGGTTAAGTAGTTGTTTGTTTTTTTTTATTCCTGTTTTTTCTGTGAACTGCGTGGTTATACCAGACTTGTTTTTAAATCACAAGTGCATCACAAAGGCTCAAATTCGAATGTCTGTCTTGCAGTGAAAAGGCGCAACAACTGGCACAGGCATGACTACACAGAGCCAGACGACGGATCAAAGCCGGTGCAGGCGGGCACCTCAGTGTTTGTTAAGCAGCTGCAGCAAAGGACCTTCCCGAGGTGTGTCATCAGCAATCCCTCTCCCAACTCTTAATGAGTTATTTATTTTGTAAGGCTTTTGCAGTTCTCTGGAGTTATGTTATCTAAGCAGTTAAAAGACGCATGTTTCCGTTTGCTGGCAAACTGCTGGTGTTTCCAAACACCTGAGTCTTTATTTTTAAAATCTACAACCTCGCAGTTCTTCCACTTGACAGTCGATAGTCGATATGACAGCTTATGTTAATGAGGGGTTTATTTCTAATCTAACTGAACCACAACACATCGATCAATTTAAAGTTCCTGGAAAGTTTGGTGACATAGCAATGCTAGGACAGGCTTTAAGAATACAAATAGTCAATTGTAGATGTGTTTTGTTTTTGTTTTTTTGCTTTTTTTTTGTCAAAAGAAGGATTACAGTAGTGGTGGTTTAACTTTGCAAATGTCTATTTTATTTTTTTTTTTACTTTTTTCTTTATTGAACAATATCAAAATTTAAAAAATAGGCATAAGTAAACAAAAAGTCATCCAAAGAAATCCAAGCAGCTGATAAGAAAATAGAATAAAAGCAAAAAAAAAATAGGCATGAAAAACACAAATATCAATTAAAAATGGTTGTAATGCTGATTATAATAACCAAAGTTTTTTTTTTTCTTTTTGTTTTTTTAAAATTTGCAAATGTCTTTTTTTTTCTTTATTGAACAATATAAAAATAAAAAAGTAGGAATAAGTAAAGAAAGTGTCATCCAAAGAAATCCAAGCAGCTGATAAGAAAATAGAATAAAAGAAACAAAAAACAGGCATGAAAAATACAAACATCAATGAAAAATGGTGGTAATGCTGATGATAATAACCCAATTTTTTCTTTTTTTTTTTAAGATTTGCAAATGTCAACAGCCGCTAGTCTGACTTGGGTTAATATTTTTAAAATGTTTTTTTTTATGCAGTGTTCTGAAGTGTTAACTTTAGTTTGGAAATATGACTGAATAAAGCTATAAATTTTAATCCTTTAAATGCTGCAGTTGTAGAGAAGTAGCCTCTTTGATAATAAGGAAGGATTGTTTCTAGATTAGTGTTTCTTAAAAGTAAAAGATTTATTTTGTCAGTATTGCTGTAATAGGATTTTAATCGATATTTACTTCCTGATGGTGAGTCCAATGCAGAGTCCTGGACTGGT